GGCGCTTTCCAGTTCGACAAGCCCCATTACCCACCGAAGCAGATCTTCGTTTCGGACAAGATGGCAGAGCGGCCAGAGCTTATCAGTGACAACCTTTTGGAGAAGGGTGGCTACTTCTTCATGTGCGGGCCTGCGGTCGCCACGCCGTCGGTGCAGAAAGCGCTCAAGGCGGCTTTGGTGAAGCACGGTCAGAACTCCTCAAAGCCCCAGGCGGACATGTGGCCCACGCCCAAGACGGATGCCGAGGCGGAGCTCTGGTTCAAGGATTTCATGGCTGCAGGACGCTACTCGGAGGAGTCGTACTGAGCTCCTCACCTGCAGAAAAGTGCACGAGCACCCCGAGTGCTCAGGTTCCGACACTTGACTGTTTCAATATCTCTGCGATGGGATCTGTTTTGTGAAACCCAACGCACGTTCCGCAAAGGTCATTTGCAAGTAGATCTCTGCAAGTTGTCGTCTGCCAGCAAGCACAACACTGTCTTGCATCCCGCTGGTGGAAGCTCATCCGCATGCCCCCGCTTGAAATATAGGCAGCCAACTTGCAACCAAATAATTCAATTCCGTGCAGACGGGCTGTACTGCCCCATAAGTTTCCACGACATCAGGGCAACCTTGCTGCTTTGGACAAACTTGATCAGTGCGATGCACAGTGCCGAGCAAGCATGTTGGTGGGCAAGGTTCGCGTTGCTAGCATGCACCGTTTCCTGATGATGCGCCAGCAAATGTCTGAACATCGCTAGCTACAAAAGCAGGTTGGCATGTCGAGTCTTCTCGCAGCTGTTCGGACATGTTGTGGTATCGTTGCTTGTGGAAAGCTTTCTAAACAAAAACTGCAGCAGATGCTGATGCGGGCCGGCAGTGGACGTTGAAACTTGTTCTTTCTTGATCAGCCAAATCATTCATACACAGCTGTTGACCATAATCGGTGCAAGAATCATACGAAGCCAATTGCATGGAGAAAGCCGGTAACCCCGCAAGTGCATTTGTCGAGATTGCTTAACGAAGACTGCTGGGGCTGCGCAAAAACGCACAGCCTAGCAGCTCATCTTTTGTCAGAACGTTGGCGTCTGATTCTGCTGGGCACGATTGGTGCCCGCGACCTTCAGAGGACAAGGCAGTGGACATAGAACCCTCAATCATTCATACAGGCAGCAAAAAGGTTCCTGCTTGGCCTCCAAATAGTTTCGCGACGAGCATTGCTCCCCATCAGCCGTGTGCGGAGGAAAAATTGAGCACTCCACACCTGCATCCGTCACGTGAAGCGCCCAACTTGGGAAGAGATGGCCTTGTTTATGTCCGCAAACTAGGTTGTAAAGCTTCCCCTGTCAGGAGGAGCTCTTCTCCCAGGTCTGCCTGAAGTACGGGGTGGACAGCACGGAACTCACAGCTGGTGAGCCGAGCCAGGCGATGGAAACCAGAGCACAAAGTCGTGGTGAGCTCATTGCAACGCTAGACACGCAGGCACATTTTTCGCCCAAATTTAAACAGATGAGAACGAGAGAAACTGAGAGATGAGTGTCCAACGAAGACTAACAGATGGAACAAGTGACCGGCAGACAGACGGGCAGATACGCAGACAGGGGGCAGGCAGACAGGCAGACAGGGAGACATGCCGACAGGTAGACAGGCAGACAGGCAAAGGCAGACAGGCACAAGCACGTGCACAAGCAGACACATGCGTACACACATGCATGGGTTATTTCATGCATGGATGCATGCATACATGCACATGTACATGCCTATACATGTATACCTATACACCCTGCATAGTTATACATACACATACCCGTATCTACCCACGCATATCAACACATACCCACACGTGTACACGTATGTACACATACCTGCGGATACACTAATGCATACGAGCATACATACACATATGCACACACACATAAGTACATGCGTGCATAAAGAAATAGACATACATACATACATTCATACATACCATACATACAATACACACAATACATACAATACATACAATACATACAGTACATACAAATGCATACAATACACTCAGTACATACAATACATACAATACATACAATACATGCAATAAATACAATACATACAATACATACAATACATACAATACATACAATACATGCAATACATGCAATACATGCAATACATGCAGTACATGCAATACATGCAATACATGCAATACATGCAATACACACAGACAGACAGACAGACAGACAGACAGAGACAGAGAGAGACAGAGAGAGACAGACAGAGACAGACAGACAAATAGACGCCAGACAGCCCGCTAGCCAGACCGACACACAGCCAGCCATGCATGCGTGCATGCATGCATGCATACGTAACGAATATACACTCATACATATCTACTTACAGAATCTTACAGACTTACATACTTACGCATACACAGATTTACATGTACGTATACTGATACCAACATATTTATATACATATATATATATATATACATCTCTATCTAGTACAACCTTCACCTGCATCTAGATTTTATGCTTTCTCCTCTGTCCGCAATGATGCAAACGTAAATAGATGCATACGCTCACACATGTACAACCTCAAGCCATTGGCCTGCTCACACACCCCATGTGTTGCGGAGTGCATGGCTTCGGGGTTTCACTGGGTTTTCATTCAATCAATCACTGACTCGGTCGGTCAGTCAGTCTTCTGTCTGAAACAAGTTCCCCGATTTCGGGAGTAAGAACTGGGCACGCAGCTGCAACTACAGGTGCCCCGAAGCACGGCACAGGCATCACTGTCAGGGAGAAAGAAGCAGACCTGATACAAAAGGCCTAGGGCCTAGGGAGACAGGGCCTACGACCTCCACTGCGCGCGCAGTCCTAGAGAGGTACATGCTCTTGGTCCGCCGACCCCCCCACTACTCCGGCATGCTCAGGTCCAAATATGCCGAATTCCTGTGACTGTGCCCACTTCTCCCACATGGCGGCTCCAACACCATCAACTGTCCCGACCCGATCCTTGTGACAGTGGACACTTTCCACCTAGGACTCTGCCATGAGGGTCGTGAAAATGCAACTGCCACCCGGATCGCGTTCCTGTCAGGCCCGCTTCCTGTGGCAGTTGACCCAAGAAGAGATGATGATGATGATGATGATGAGGGCGACCCAAACCGCGAGCCACACCACACAGGGGGGCAGAGGGACTGAGAGCAAACCCAAATCCCAAACCACACGCACCACGGGGGGAAGGAGTACCAACCATTGCGGGGGGAGCGGGGGGGGGCCCGGCCGAACTGGGATCATATATACATGTATACGCCTCAGGGCCCCCGATGCCCAGATTGTCCGTCTGTCTGTCTGTCTGTCCGTCCGTCTGTGTCTCTCTCTTACATTCACAAATATACATATTTATATTATTATATATTAATTATATATATATATATATATATATTATCTATTTTTACATATAGCGCTACTGTATATTTATGTAGACATATATATATATATATNNNCCCCCCCCCCCCCCCAAAGAAATCTTAGCAATATCTTGCTAAGCGCTTGGCAAGCACTCTAGTCCCAGTAGGCTCTCGACAAGACCTCGAACACGCTTTCGCCTTTCAAAGTGTTCGGCTGTTGTCAAGCTCCAGGTACGCATGCATCATCAAAGAACAGCTTGCTTCATCCGCAGTGTGCAGGACATTTGTGAGTTTCAGGTTCGGATCGCACCGGGCAGTGAGCATAAGTACTTGCATACTTCCAGCCCATTCGGAGGCCTAGGCTAGCAGCAGGCCCAAGCAGCCATGTCATCGCTTAGCGCGATAACATGGCAAGCCCGCACCTTCAGCGCAGCAAGTTGCGATACGACTGTTTACATTGGCACGGCCGATGAAGTTGAATGGTCATTGAATGATGTGACCAGGTGGTTCTGGACGTCAGCTGATGCTGGCTCGCGACAATCTAGATATCGCGCCCATGCAGACCGCATCAGTGCTCAGCATGAGGAAATCTATGATGGACAGCAGCTTCCTCCAATGAGACCATTGATGCAGCAGAAGCAAGCAGAGTCTGCTGCTGCAGCCTCAATGTATGAAAGGACGATAAAGACAAGCACGCTCTGCGCAAGCATCGCCGCTCTGCTCAGCTCTCCTGTTTTCTCTGCAGACGTGTATGTCCGAAGCGGAGAGATCGTTCACAGTCTCCTGAGCTCCCTGTGCAACAGCTCTGCGGTTTCCAATCTGCAGGTGCCGGTGTTGGGGCGGCCGGACACCACATTCACTGTCCCCGCCGCTGGCGTGTTGAGATCTGCAGATGTTTGGGGCGTTGTGATTAGGCCGGTCTTGGAGGCACGTTGGACCCAGAGTGCTTCCGATGCAATGCTGACTTGGCACAGATCCACCCACCAGAGCATGACAGTCCCAGAGTTTGTGTTGTTTGGTTTGGACCCGAACATCTTGAAGGAGTTTTCTTTTCTACGAATCGCGGCAGAACAGCTGCTGCGCCAGATACTGGCCGCATGTACGGCCGAGTCGATTCTTGAGGTCACCAAATCGGTGACTTTGAAGCGTTGCTCCAACGTTGGAGCAACGAAGCAGGTGCGCAAAGGCATGGTGGTCAAGGCCTACTTCGATGCTTGTCAGATGGTTTTCCGGGGAGAGGTAGCTTGTCTGCTCCTGCTTCGTCTGAGTAGCGAAGAAGCAGACTGTGAATTTCTTGGCTGACTTTGAACCCTAAGCCCGTAACCCTGCGCTGCACAATGCATTCCCGGCCCACTATTGAATCCCAGACTGTAAGCTTGTCTCAGGCAATTCTGTTGCGCACGGCCTGTGAACGCGCGGGCTTTGGCATGATCGAAGGAAAGAAGAAGGCTGAGAGTGCTTCGTCTTCCAAGAAGAAGGGTCCTGATGACGACAAGAGCACGGCGACGGTTCCACATTGTGCTTCCGTGTTTGCTGTGCTCCGGTCCGCAGAAGCAAGCCATTGTTTTGTCTCTTCTGGCCTGTCATCTACCTCCAAACCCTGAAGCCTGTCCGTTGTGCTGCAGGACGCATACCGGCGACACTGCCATGTCGAGTTTGCCAGCGAGAAAGTCTGGCATGTCCGGGGCTTATGAACAAGGGTGGTTCTCAGATTTCAGAGAAGTTTTTACTTTTTGGGATTCGAACGCAGGACAGGAGTGAGTGGAAGAGTTGCTGCCGTAGGTCGCGAACTATGCTGCGCTGGCAAGGGCACAGGTTTTTCGTGATGAACACCAAATTGCAGCGCTTCGGCTCCGTAGCATGTAACATGGGCCACTGTTCGTGGCCATGCAGAGCTCAGATGCAGTGGCATCTTGCAGCAGTTTCACCATGGTGACTTCGGACGGTTCCGTCTCGGACGATGGGCCACCGCAGCAGAGTGATGCCCCCGACAAGCAGTCCAGCGGCGAGGCCACCAGCGAGGACCCCGCTCAGGACAGCCAGGGGAGTGGATCCTCAGCATCCAGCTCTTCCTTGTTTGGGGTGCCTCATACAGAATCAGAAAGCATTGTGGTAGAAGCCTTGCACCTCCGTCGTCTGTAGTGTGCGCTTGTGTGAGTGTGTGCATGTGTGCGTGTGCTCAGTTAGAAGTTGAAAGCCTGAGGTGCGACAGTGCTCAGATCGTCTTGTCGCAGCCGGCAAGGCGATCTACATGGCCTGGCATGTGACCTCTGAGTGTCTGGGAGAGCGTCTGCAGGCGAGGCTAAAGTCTAAAGGTTGCAGGCTGCAGCCATCTAGCTGCCTGAAAATCCCAAACCCTGAACCCCAAAAACGTGCTGGGCCAGGAAATTGTCAGTGATACAGACACCTGTCTGTTTACTATTTCCCGACAGGTCTCTATGCTCGCCACTGCGCGGGCCGCCTCATCGACATGCTCCGGGCTCTTCACCTCGGATATGGCTCTGGCTGTGGTCTGTCGGACGGTGAATCTTTCAGGATTCAGTGACGTCCGGATGGACATTGGCACGGTAGCCACGTGGGCGTCTCGGTGGAGATTAGCCAGGACAGCTCTTTTTTTTCTAGATCACATCCGAACCGTGAGAAGCAGAATGTTGCAGCCGCCTCAGGAAATCAATCCGCATTGCTGGCAGCCCATACTTGACAACCAGCGGTGGTGCAACCAGCTCACAGGCCACAACCGGCCCTCGCCACACATCTTCCCGGATGTGCTCCACATGCTTCCCGGAATTGGTTGGGCAGGTGGTCAGCCGGACATGGAGAGTCAGCTGTTGAGGGCTGCGGGCACGCCGTTGAACTCTTGCTTGCCCTGTCATTCCTGCCACATGGATGGGACGAGTTGCGTTATGCCCGATGTGGACATGGATGTTGCGGGACTGCCGTGTGTTGATTATTCCAGAGCAGGCAAGAGGAAGGGATCTCGTGGTCGTAGCTCTCCCGTGTTTGTTGCGTGGGCCAAGAGACACAAAACACTTGGTACAAAGCTTTTGATCCTGGAGAACACATCAGCCCCTTGGCCCCAAGGCTCCTGATACTGCTGTAGTTTGGAACTGTACGAGACTTAAGATCAGCGAGCTTTGCACCTTTGTTTTTGCTCTGCAGCCAAGACATTCGACCTCAGCGTGCTCGCGCACCTGATGGAGCCGGACTACCAGCTCTATCCGCTACTCATGAGCGCGGCAGACACCGGGCACGCTGGGGTCACCAGGCAGCGCTGGTATGTCGTCCTGCGCCACGTCGCCAGCACTGACTGTCTGTATGATCCCTTTGACCTCTACGAGCACATCCGCGGCTACATCTCCGAACGAGTGCAGACGCAGCCCCAGGACTACATGATAGCAAGCCAGGAAGAGATCTTGCTTGAGGCTGCACAGGAAGCCATCAAGCGCCGACGGGTCCTGCGGCCAAGAGACATGGACCTCAGGTACCTGCTGAATGATCGCGAGACCAGGATCTTGGATGCAGCCTGCAGGGAGTATGAAAGACGCTTCCACGCGGATCCCTACGCAGATGCGAACTTTGTGATATTCCTCGGCGACAACCCGGAGTACAGCTACACGTGGTCTGCTGTCACAAAGAGGATCCCCACGCTCAGGCTCAACGATGGGAAGCTCTACTTCCCCTTCTTCAGACGCTGGATGGTTGCGTCCGAGAGGCTTGCGTGTCTGGGCTTCCCCGTTCGGACACGTGTCTCGGAGGCCATGGGTGTGCCTCCGCTTCTCATACGTGATGAGCGCAGGGCTAGCCAACTGGCAGGGAATTGTATGATGCTTCCATGCGTGGCCATTGCACAGATGATTGGCCTCGCCTGCGTGGCTTCTAAGCAGTCCACGGGCAACACCCTCCTGCCATGAGTGCACCTGTCTCCAGTTGTTCACTGCAGTTACCAGCGTCTCCGACTTCGCGAGCAAAAGTCGCCTCTGCTTCTGCCTGCGTGCGGTTTGTTCAGTGTAGATGGAGTCACCCTCACCCCGAATCCCGACACCCCACACCGCCCAGGTCTTCTTTGACGGGTCGAACATCGGCAAGCGACCCACCGAGCTCCTCTATCTCTTTGCTCCTTGCATCAACATGGGGGCTATGGCACCCCCTATGGACGGAGGCTCAGGAACGTGTCTTTGTCCTGCGCAGCAGCGTGCACACGTGAAAGCACTTTCAAGAGATTTCTGAGTCTGTGGCTCTAGAAGCAAGGCTGTCGTTCTTTCTTGTCCGGCCAGTAGGCAAGCTCTCCTGATGGCGGGCTCCGGTGCCGACGCTAACGCCAACCCTCCGACTGGGCCCCCGGGGCCTCCCCCGGCCCTGCCGGCTGCTGCTCCAGCTGCCAGAGCTCCTGGCCCGCCTCCAGGACAGGCCACAGTCACAGTGTTCCCTGCCAATGCTGCACTGATGCCCAAAGCAGTTTCTGTGCTGCCTCCCGGCGGCGATCCCATGGCTGCCAACCTTTTGTACCTCAGCATGATTGGGGCTGCGGCCACTCCCAAGGGAAAGGCAGTTGCAAAGAAGCCGCCTTCGTCGGGCGGCAGCCGGCGACATGTCGTGGAGCGCCTCTGCAGATCAGTTGTTTGCGGTGCTGGCGAATCAGCCCAATCCATGTTTTTTCGTGATGCTTGCCTGGATTCCAAGGAAATATAGCTCCAGCTACTCGTGCTTGGCGAAGTTTCCGGATCACCTGATTCAAGAGATGCTGTTACACTGCGAGCCGGTGTACTGCAACGGAGGATACCTGAAGAACTGCCCCAGGCCCCTGTCATGATTTCTAGACACAGAGCTTTGAAACTTTGCTAGTGACGCCGTAACAGTATGTGCCTCTGATTGCCTCTTCCAGCTTGCTGCCTGGCCAACCTAGCCTTTGAGTTACGCGGCCCTCTTACTCTCATGGGCAATGCAGAGAATTCCTGTTGCGCGCAGGTTGGCCTTCTGCCTTCCGACAAACCGTATTCGCCTGCCACTCAGTCACAGCCTTTCCTCTTGGGGCAAAACCACTTCCCACCTGTGATGTTGGACCTCTGCTGCTGCTGCTTCTTCTGCTGTGAGATACGTGAAGCTGGAGCACTTGGAGGCAATGAAGAATGAGTATCTCCGCACCGGCACCATGGTGGCACAAGAGAAGATGACCAAGGAAACGGCGTGGGCGAAGTCCCAGCAGAAGCTCATGGAGTGTGCACAGAGAATGGCTACGCCTACACCGGCTGCAGCAGTTGCAGCCACGCCTCCGGGTGTCATTCAGGGCACCGCCTTCTCCATTCGGCCGCACGGCCCGCGCTGGCTCCTCACGGAAACGAGCAGCGGCCGAAACATCTATTTGCCCCAGTTCACTGAAGGCCAGCCTGGCGTGCGCGCATGGAGCATTTATCAGGATGCCACTGGGCACGACGTGGTCACCGAAGGCATCCAGAGCACGGCTGCGTATGCTTCCACGTACTTCCCTGCACCCGCTGCAGGCACAGACACGGGAATCGAGCTGTAACGAAGCCTAGAACCCTTTGCAACCTCGAGCCCTATAAGCCCCCTAGGCTCCGCTACTGACCCAAAGCCCCCATCCCACCCCAACCCCCACCGCCCAAATCTAGGAACGTAAGCAACCTGCACCCGCACAGTGGGGTGCAGGTTGCTTACGTTCCTAGATTTGGGGGGAACCATCTAGCACCACGCAGGACCTACCGCCTCGGCGCCGCCGGATCCAGTGACGAGGGGAGTGCCCGCATCGGCGGGGGCGGCCCCAGCTGCCACGGAGTTGCCAGCAGTCTCCTAGCTTCATGGTAGCGTCAGCAGTGTCGGGTGGAGGGCTTTGGGGTTTGCTAGGGTTTTGGGGTCCAGGGTAGCAGGCTTAGGGTGAGCATTCTCTCCGAGCCGAGCCGCAGAAGCTGGGTTCTTTTGGGCGTGGGATTTATACTTGGGGCTTAGAGTTTAGTTTGTACGGGGTTAGACAAGAGTAGAGGATGATTCCATGTCGTGCATCCATCCAGAAGATCCGTCTACGTTTGTTCTGTGTTGCTGTGGTTCCAGGTTCAGGGGCCACGGTTTCGTCCTGTGCGGGTTGCAGGATCTTGGTGTCCTTGGTATGTAGGATCCTCATGCATTCGGGAAAGTCCACGAGGTACGTAGTCCTGCCAGGGTACCCCATTATCGATATGTCAGGGCTTCTAATACTCAAGGGTATGACAGAGGGGTCTACAGTTCAGCATATCCAAGCCAGCCCGGAACTCATCATTGCTTCCCCGTGCCCTTCCTCAGCCCAAGCAGGTGCCCGACGATGAGTTCGACGAGCTCGTGGAAAGAGCCATTGCAGCAGGCATCGCCGTGAGTATGTCCGCTGAGAACACGCCAGCACTTGCTCATCGGCTGCGCCGGATGCTGAACAAGCGCAAAACCCCGGACGCTGCAAAAGGCGCAACCGGGACCGAGAACACCGCAGCAGCGCCAATAGTGACAACCGGTGAGTCTGCGGACACAAATCCAGTGGCTGCGCCCGCCCCCGGGGCGAAGGCGCCACGCATCCGAGCACCGAAACCACGGCTGACCCGGTGCCGCCCACAGGGACCGCGGCGACTTCTGATTCTCCGGGTCGCGCTGGTCGCAGGGTCAGCGCTGCTGAAGTGCTGCAGATTGAGTGAGCATGAACATGCCAGCTCTGGGATCACATGTGACTCATGCTGGCCACGACCCATCACTACCCGAGGCCTGCGACAGCATAGGAGCTTTAGGTACTCGTAGCTACGCCCCAAAGCCTTTGTAGACCCTTGCCAAGCCCAAAACCACGAGCGCCCACTAAGCTCTCACTAAGCCCTCGGTAAGGCCTCGAGCCCCTCAAAACCAGGCCCCGGCGACCCTCTCACTAAGCCCTCGGTAAGGCCTTGCTAAGGCCTTGGTGAGGCCTCCAGCCCCTCAAAATACAGGACCCCAGGTCACAACCTTCGCTCTGGAGCGCATGCCCTAATCATCCCCAATCCCGACTCCTAGAACGCAAAACCTAGAAGCCAAAGCCCCTCCGAAACCAGACCGCAGAACAGCCCTAACACTGTAAGCCAACTCCTTCGACCGCTGCGGCAGCGAGCTAGGTGCGGTGTCCTCGGGTCGTGTTTGTTGCGCTGCTTCGGATTCATGTTGCTGGGGTTCTTTGATGCTGGGCCGGGTGGGGGCCGGCATCATGACCGTCACTAGGTGGGTGGGTGTCGGGAGGGGGGTCTCCACACATCCAAACGATGTTGGTGAATTTTTGCTTTGGTGACCGCGTGGGTCCTGGCAGGGAGGGGCCCAGGACCGGCTGATGC